GGCGGCCGGCGGCACCCCGGCCCCTCCGTTAGCCCCGGCCGCCCGGTCACCCGCCGGTTCCGTCCTCATGGGGTCTGCGCCCCTAAAAGCGGGTCGTTTTTCTCGCTGACCAGAGGGTGCGATTTCGAGCTGTTACCTGGTTTTAATCGCCGTGTTGTACTCGGTGTCTCACCCGTTACCGGCGTCGAACAACAGCTCAGAGCGGTGTAACGACACTCACAATCCCCCGGCGAGCAGCCGCCTTAGCCTCGAGCTGGCACCCAGCGTCTCTGTTCCGGTGATTCCTAAGCAAAAGGATGGCACAGATGGTATAAGCATCTTAAAAACTAACGTGTTCCAGCCAGGAAACGGTGTGGTAAGGAAAGGGAATTTGTTTTTAGAAAACATAAACAAACAACTGCGTCTAAAAATAGACGTAATCAGCTTTGAGATCATGTTAAAATGTCGTGGTAATTATGTGGTGTCACTTCAAGGCAAAATAAAGACCACTTAAGTGTTGTCACTTACCTGGAAGTCTGGACTTCTCCATATATAACAGTGAATTTTACAGAGTTTTTCATGGACGTTTTGGGCATAGTTACAGCATCAGTAGCTATAAGGCCTGTTACTGTTATGTATTATTAACCCTAAGCCTAAATAGTGTTTGTTTAGGATTTATTGCTCTGCTGTAAGTGGAGATAATATTCACGAGAGAAATCATAGTAATTCAACAATGTACACTTTATATGTCATCCTTCTGCTTGGTTGCTCTCCTTTCTCTTCCTCTCCCTTCCCAGCCCACTTTCCTTTCCCCTGAGAAGATGGAGATGTGTCTGTACTGTAATGGTTCCTTTTATTCCCTTTCATTTAGATTTCTGGGGGGAGGAAGGGGTGGGGGGGAGAGGGATGGACACGAAGAGTAATTAATCAGAATCTTGTTAAGCAAGCCTTATCAATCACAGGCATTCAGTGCATTATTGTAAAACATTACAGAATTATTCTCCTTCCATAATCATCACAGACTGTCCCTTACCAAGGACGGCAATAGTTCAATAAAGCATCCATCAAAACCAAATTAAATGTAATTTAATGTTTTGTATAATACCCAAGGCTGTGGTCTTGCAAGCACTTAAGCACATGCTTAATTTCCAGCCTGTTTGCAGTAGAAGGATTTCCCAGATTGCCTGTAATGAAATCGATGCCTGGGTGTTGACACTTAAGGTTTAAGATTGTGGCCCGAATTTGTGATATAATTATGCAGATAAATGTGTGTTGCGTCTTAGTTTCCCCATGTATGCCAGCAACAACGGGAAGACACAGCAAACAAGGAATGCTGTTGAATGCCCAGAGGGTGTTCTTAATTGGTCAGTGAATAAAGCAACACGTGTTTTTCTTGGTTCTTAGTTTTGTTTGGGTTTTTTTTAAGCTTTTTGAACTTTATTAGCATAGTTGCATTATTATTATCATGCTTCAGGAGAATGCTGCAAGTTTCTTCTTTTAAAAAGGAGTGTGGGATTTTTATTTGTAAGTGTTTCAAGTGCTTTAGAAGTGTGTACTTATTTTAGGGTGATGTGTACCCCTTAATATGGAGACTATCTACCCTACTGTTTGCAAATCTGACATTTGAATACCCCATTGTCAGTAAGCAGAGCTTTATTTCTTGACAAGAGTAAGATTCTTAGCAGGAGAAGGTATATTTAGCTGTGGAAGAGCCTGATGTAACAGAGTTCAATTACAAGTACTATGTGCACGGAAACTGGGTTCTGAATAATTTTTATAGGATTTTATGTCTGCCATCAAGATTGGAATCATTGTAGTTAGGTCAGCCAGCTACACATGAGATGAGATGTGAAAAAAGTCTTGATAAAATAGTTCAAAGTTCTGTCAAGCCTGCTGTCTGTGTTTTCCCTCGGAAGTAATGACAGGATACGTCCTCATAAAAAGACACGTTGCCCAGTCTGTGTTGCATAGCTTGGACTCTTCCTCTGGCTACGAGCAGAAAGTTACGGAAGTTGCAGGAATCTGAACTTCAGAAGTTTGAAGAAAGACATTCTAGAGGTGAAGTTTTCAAAGTGTCATTCCTGAGGGTAATTTAACTGTAATTAACATAGAGATTCTTCACTGCTATGTCTGAAGTAGAGGCTGGTCTGTGGGAGGCAGATTGCTTAAGCCAGTGGGTCCCTACATGGTTCAGATTTCTGAAATCAAGAATGCTTGCTGTATATAAAGGACTTATTAAAAGCGGAACAACATATGTTGTCTAATGGCTAGTCTGGTATTTTTTGTTTAGGCAGATACATCTCAAAAGATGAGGGATGTCTTTGAACGCTTGTTACTCCAGCAACCTGATCAAAGCTATTTCATCTCTTGGGGAAAAAATACACGGTTCCATACGTATCCTGAAATAATTCACTTAAATCTTCAGAGCTGGTTACTTTGACAAGCCTTCAGCTGGGTAACACGTGGCACTTTGTTGGCAGGTCTGCAATTTGACTGCTAAGTAGGCATTAATTTTAATTACATTGGCTGGATTCCACTGTGCATGGTTTTATTCTGCCCATGTGAAGCTTTGTTTATCTTTGTGTTGTGATTAGCAGTGCTTGCCTAGCACCTTGGTGCTGTGTCCTCCGTGCTAGAAATGTTAGTGCGTATAAACACTGCTCTTACAATAGAGAAATCAGTTCTTGGGCAGGTCTGGAGCAAATATCTCGCTGCAGATTGATGGCTGAGGTGGCATCAATGCCGTGTATGTGCCATTGATGGCAAGTACTTTCCTTGTTAACTTTTTTTTCCTCTCGAATCACTGGATTCAGGCTTTGAGACTCTCCCGATGAAGGACATCTACTAATGAATATTAACTATTGCAGCCTACGGTCTGTTATGTCTTGATTTGGGCTCTACTGGAAGGAAAATGTGCAGCAGTTGCACTGCTGCTTCCGGTGCTACAGTGTTTTTGTGAATGAGGGTGGAAAGGATCTTCAGAAATGACAATGCAAGGATTTTCCAGTAACACAGATTTTAGTCCAGCTTGCCCGTCTGTCTTTATTTTCTCATAAATTCTAGTAAAGCTGAGTGGGATGATAACGAATGGCTAAATAACTTCTTCTGAAGTGAGTGGTATCAGGTGATACCTGAGGAGGAAGAAACAAAGATTAAGGGGGGGGAAAATGCAGAAAAATAGGATTAAAAGTAGCATTCTCACTTGTCAGTAAAACAAGAATTGCTGTCTTTTGAAAATCTGAGTTATGTTTTTGGAGGCAGGAAGGGAAAAAGTTGAAACAACTGGCCTAGGGTTACAAAAGGACTGAAGCTGGCATGTTTTGGCTTCAAAGTGCTGTATATTGCTCCTTTGCATGGGTTTTAGAACTCTGTTTACAGCTTTTGCTCAAAAACGGTTAGTGATGGCTGAAAAGAAAGAAGGAAGAAAACAAATACTTTATTTTTATAGGATATGTCTAGGACAAAGAATATCTGTTAATCTTTTTCTGTAAAGAAAAGTTAATGTCTTGTGGCTTAGCACACAGCCATGGTAATCCAGAAGAACTGGTTTCTCTGCATGGCTCTGCCACAGTTTCTTTTGAGAGACCTCGAGCAATCCATATACTGGTCATCAGTGCGAGAGTCGGACAATTTTATGTTCATTAGTCACTGAAGAAAATATAGATGGGAGTCCTAAGATCCTAACGTGTTTGTTTCTCCCTTTACCAACTCCCACCCAGTGATCCATCAGATTATGCTAATTTGTGTGCTTTTTCTCTGTCCTACTGCACCTTGACTTATTTTGGGCAAAGTATAAATGTTCCAGCAGAATGGATGAAGAGTACTGTCTTCCCTGCCACAAAACATCTTCTAGTCTAAGGTCCTGAGAGTCAACAGGGAAAGGAAAAAGATAATCTTGTGATTCCGCCCAGGCTTCCATGTGCTCAGCCTGTCGGGAGAGAAGATAATGCTAATGTAGCTGTAGTGTCCTTATAGTATGAGGAGAGGTGTGAGGCGGGAACATAGTTGGTTGACATAGTGTCATTTTTTGACGTAGCCTTTCGGCTTGAAAAATAGGCTGCACATGACAAATGTGCTTAAATTTCTGCTTTTCCTTATCTGAAAACTGTATAAACGATTAGGCTTCAGAAGTCTTCTGTGAGGGATGATGTTCTGAGAAATCTAGTTTCTTAGATGTAGGAGCAAAGAAATAAACGAGATATTCATTTTATTGACATCAAAGAATTTCAATGACCCCTTTAAAACAGAGGAGCATAAATCTTTGTAATGCATTTGTCTGCACATGAAGTAACTTGTCTTGTTAGTGATCGTCACCATTTACTCTCTCCTGATTTTCCAGAAACCGTGTTTACATTACAGTGTTGTGGAAGGAAATCATCCAGTCTTGGGTCTTGCCTGTCTTCTCACAACTGTGCTCAAACCACAAATATGCCCTGGCCTTTTGACATCCGTTGAGTGGTTCCAGGAGTAAGAGAACCTGAATAAGTCACACCTAGGTGGAGATGAGAGGGGAAAGGAAGCTCATGGGCCCATTAGTTTCAATAGGTCAGTTCAGATGTTTTCATTTTTAATGTGTACAGGCCTGTCTGCTGCTGCAGTCCCATTTGGAGGTTAAATTCACTGGGAACGACATCAGTGTGTTGAATGAAGTTCAGAATGCACTGTGCTGTACTTTGATTTGGGAGATAAGGTAAAATATCATTTGATTAGGGTTTTCCCTTCGTTTCAGTGGATCTGGAAGGTCCCTGGGTTTAGGCAAATCTCAGCATTGTTTTATGAATCATAAAGGACAGAATTTTGATAGGAATGTTTGAGAATTACTATAAAAATCTTAAAATTTCAGTGCATCTCTAGTAAGTAGGTAGACTGAGTACCACTTTTCCTATCCTCCTGTAGGTGGAGTTCTTCTGTCTGGATAAATAAGAAATGGGGCTTGATTTTATTTTTAATGGCATTCTTCTAGAATTTGTAAGTTACCAGGGATCATGAATCTCTAAATTTCACATGCTGTCTAGTGACAACGTGCATGTTTCGATATATAAAATTAAAGTAGATGCAAGGGTCCAAAACAAAACCTACAGCAGAAGTATTTGGAAGCTTGACACTATCCTATTTTTTATTAATTGAAAACAGTTTAATCATGGAATTTTAATACAACATTCCAGAAATACATTGCCTGAAATGTTTCTCCAATCTTTCTGTCTTTCCTATACAAGCAAACTTTAAATATGAGGAAGTTTTCATGTGCTTTTTAAGGCTGTGTCATCTGTTTTAAAGCTTTGTAGTTTATTGAGCACTCCCCCTTGATTCATTTGTATAGTCTTTTTCTAAATGTATAAAGAGGCTAAAAGTGTCTGGGTTTTGGCTATTTTTACTACTGAACATAAAGACTAGTTGAACTGCATCTTTAAAAAGTCGTGCTTAGGATACCAAAATTTTCAGTGCTTTTGTTGATTTCACTTTATGATGAAATGTGATATATTTTCTATCAGTCATCTGTTTTAATATTTTAACAGAAGCCAGAGTCTGAAAATGCAGGGATGAAATAGGATGAAAAGTGGGAATTAAATTGCAAGAGAAACTTTCTTACAATGAGCTCAGGTAAACTATGGCAGTCTCTCTCAGAGGGAAGCTTTTTTGTTTGGGATGTTATGAAACTATCCCACAGAAAAGGACAAAGCAATACATAACAAGGAGCAATAGAAAAAAAAACTCTCCTGGTGCCAGCCACTGCTTATATAGCACATCACATGACCTTGCAGAATCATAAATATTTTAGGAAGAAAAAAAAAATCCTAGCAGAGCAATTAACGTTGATGTGAATATCTGACTGCTTTGCAGTCTGTGCTGTGGAGAAGAACATTTACCCTGTGAGGAGGTCTAAGTTGGATTTGCTGGTAGGAAATATTAGAACAGCATTATTTTGAAACTCAGGTGCTCCTGCAGGCATCACTCTCCGTGGAACCTTAGCGCACGGGCCGTACGATAACGACGGTGCACCTTCACTCATTTTCTTTAAGTGCGTTGTAAACCAAATCTGTTCTGAAACCAGACTTGGTAGTGTCATCAGTGGTTTACAGTTACTGGTACGAGTGTGCCGGATAAGGGAGCATCAAAGCACAGCATGTAAATTATGTGCATACGTGCATTGCCAGTTGATTAATGTTTTTCCGTGAGTTATACAGATTTGTAAAATTGAGGGGGGAAAAACTGAGATTGAACATGGAGAAAGAGTTAATGTAATCATTATGAGGACTGTTAGGATCATTTGACTTAGTTAGGCACATGTTTTTAAAACTAACTGATGAGTATGAGAGCATATTTCTGTGTACATAACAAGAATTTAGACTTTAAAAATGTAAATAATCTCAGAACTAACAAACTACAGAGTGCTTTTGGTCACCTGGATGTCTTATGTTGGTATGACTCTGTTTAAAATTGTCCTCAGATAGGAAAAGCAGCAGTCTCCTCTAAAGGGATAATTCATTAACCAGTTGATTTTGAAAGTTAGCTGTGCAAACTGTTGAAAATTAACAGCTCTCACCACCTGAAGTTTTTATTCTGGTGTAACTATATCTGTTTGACCTTGCATTTCCCGCTTAACGTGCTGCTTGTGGTATTATGATTATACATATGAAAAGCAGGACTGGAGGTTGTGTTTGTTTATTGACCTGTAGAAACATTATGTCTTTATGCAGAATCTTTGAATTCCATGTATTCCTGTAAATCACCAGTCTGTTCTGTGGTTTCTGTAATCTGTTTCTTTGGCCAGCATGAGAAGAGTAGGTGCAGCAAAGGTACTGGCAGTCTGAAAAGATGTCCTGGTGTTGACTGATGCTGCTCTGCGAATAGCGGAGGAATTCGGAGAATCAAGCCTTACTGCCTAAAAGAACTCTTAGAGATAGGAATTTTGTTGACCTGAGTCAGTGCAACGTGCCGACTTTGTTTCAGATATGTATAGGAAAAGCCTTCCTTTCCTGCTTAAAAATATTAGAGCTTAATTTTTCATAATCGCAAATGCCCATCTCCATCGTTCTGTCTGAGACATCTGTGAATTCTGCCGCCTCTCTGCAGGTTGGTAAACGCACAGAGTTCATGAATTGTGCAGACTAAGGGCTCCTTCAGCTAAAATAGCCATTTGGACATTCGGGTGCTTCACCCTGCTGTTCCTAGTCTCTAGATTGGAAGAATCTCCTCGATGGTGCTCTGGAGTTCAAGTCATTTTGTAGCCGTGCAGTGGTACTGAGGGTTTGTAGCCAAATCCTTCAGTGGTTTTCTCCTCTTTCATGTGAAATCCACACTTCTTTGGGTTGTCAGTGTGCCCACATTGCTGTCATTTCATACACATTCATTCCTCACTCAGTTGTTTTTCTTTGCTTTCAGCTTCACAACTGTTTCCTCCAATCTTGTATGCCGTAAGCAGCTCTCCATGTGCCTTCCAGCACTTTCCTCTTAGGTTCTCCTTTAGTTTACTCTTTTTACGGAGCTGTTAAAGGAGTTCGAAGTCATTACTTCTGGATCATCCAACTTAACAATTCCTGCTTTTTTGCTTTAGGTAGACGGAAGGCATTTGGGGAAAATGACTTGACCTATTTTCACATCTTTTACGTTTTATTTGTTATTTATATATTGCCATAAAATAATGAGGACTTTGCAATACCTGATTTTTGAGTCCAAATGACTGTCTTTGCCATGTGTTTAATTTTGCACTTTTACTATTGCAGGAGGTTGGTGAGCCATTCAAAGAGGAGAAGGCTGTTGCTAAATACTTACGTTTCAACTGTCCAACAAAATCCACCAACATGATGGGCCACCGAGTTGATTATTTTATTGGTAGGGTTACTTTTACTCAGAGAATTAAACTATTTTCTTCTAACATTGAGGGGGGGGGCTGTTTTGTTTTTGTTATCAGTGCTTTATCTGATAAGCACTGATCTTACAGTTTGGTTTTTGAAAACTTATCTAGGCATTAGATAGCCATAAACTTAATCTTATCAGCCTGAAGTAAACACAGTAAACGTTTTACTCTGTGGTTTAAAGGTACAGAGTTGTCAAGAATAATGTGTTTCAGAATAGTGGCTAGCCTGACTTTAAAAGTTTAGAGGATTTGGAACAACACTGGTTGGTGCGGTTCAAGGAATGCAGACTAAATGTTAAAATAAATGTAATTAATTTTAATGCATTTTTAATTCCGTTTTCCCCTCCAGCCTCAAAAGCTGTGGATTGCCTCCTGGATTCTAAATGGGCAAAGGCAAAGAAGGGAGAAGAGGCTTTATTTACAACTCGAGAGTCTGTAGTTGATTACTGCAACAGGTACGACCTAGCCTAATTCAGCAATTTTATTAATGAGTATAGTTTCCAAGATGTCTTCGTTATTTAAGAGCCAATTTGACTTAGACTTCATGCATTCTAAACCTTTGTGTCTATATGTAAAAATAATGATTGTATTTTTATTGCTGTGTTAGAGGGTGTCACACCAGAAACGGAAACAATGTAGTTCCATCATCTTTGTTCTCAAAACACTCTCATGCTTTCATTATGCTGTTTGGGACAGCAAGGTGAACAAAACGATTTTCCTAAATTTTATAGTTATTTTAAGTTAGTAGGATCAGATTTCTCAAGTCTCTCGTGCCTGTGGACCTGGTCTGCCATCGTGGCAGAAGGTGGACTGGAGGTTCAATTTATGCCTCTCAAATGGTGTTTAGTGTACTCTAAGTGCTTTATTAGATGAAGGGCATGTTCTGCCTGTACCTTGTTTGGGGCAGACACGTAGGGTTAAGGGGACTGCCTGCATTTGGAGGGCTCTGCGAAAGCTACTTAGAAACGAAGAATGTGGCTAATATTTAGTCTTTTTTTTCTGGCCTCTTTTAGATAGCCATCCAGCAAGGTGAGATTCTTCCCCCGGTTCCAGGGCTGAGGCAGGGCTGATTCCGTGTTTGAACTTTAATCCTTTTGCTGATTATTCAAGAAAGCTTAGGAAAAAGCATTATTTTAATGCAAGCAGAAAAATACGTTTTCCCTTCTAGAGTCTTTAGACTGAGGTAGAAGTCTGTATGTTTGTTCTTCACTTACTAAAAAATGGGATGAGATGACAGTTGGTTAAGTCCTTCAGCTCCAGCAGTGTGAAGAATGCCTGTGTAGTGTGCAAAGAAAATCAGTTCAGCTCTGTTCTCTGGCACTGATTTTTATCACCAGTATCATTTTGTGCCCCGATGATCCACTTGGCACTGTATGACGTCTGCAGTTCGGTTTCTCTTGCTCACTTCTATGTTGCTAAAAATGCTAAGGCCACCTTTGTTCACTGAAGCTGTTTTCAGAGTTTTAAACATTAACACTGTCTCCTTCCGTTGCCTTTTGGAAAGGATGGAGGAATGTCTTAGTACAAAAATAATCCCTTTAGTGTAAGAGGCTGCTTAGGCTCTTACTTGTATTAAAAATAAGTACCTTAACTCTCTTGGTGTGGCCATTGCTTGTGTTACCTGTCCTATCAAACAGAAACCAAATATCAGATCCTGCTCCTTCCTCCTGTGTCCAGTCAATTAGTTGCATATTTGAAACAAGTTATGAACTAAATTCATAGTGCTGCTCCAGAACATAAGATCTCCTGGTACACTTACACATTGATCGAAGTTTACTAGGTTTTCTTTTGAGGGGTTTTGTTCACAAATAAGCTACATGAGTAATGCCGTGTTCAGCAGATCTATAGAGGATTAACGAGTCGGGAATCAGCAAGCTATCTGCACTTCATTGGTTATGTCCAGATCTGTCCTGCTTCAGCACCTGGCTGTTGGCTGCACTGGGACCGTGGCTCCGTGCTCTGGGCAGTAGGTCTTGCACAGTCCCGTCTTTTTGTGTTCCGTCAGCCAGAGGTAGTCCTACAGGCCAGACCTGACCTGTGAGCTGCTCAGTACCTGAGCCCCCTAAACCTCCAGCTGTGAAGAAAAGTAGTTTCTCCCAAACAAGTGTTTTTCTGTTGCTAGAAAGAGAATCCATGGCAACAATTGTCTAAGGGAAGGTTTTTTGTGTACCTGAAACAACTCTAATCGTCAACATGCACATGAGTTTAACTGGTAGAATGAGTTTTCTGTCTTTAGCGAGTTTCCCTAACTGGACACGCAGTGCAGCACAAGCATTTGGTCTGCAGCAAGAGATGGAGGAAATCAGGGAAGGAAGGAAGGAAGTCAAATGGATTTGATGCAGAGGATCAGGATTTTTGGTGTGAATGGGTGCTTGGTTTTTACACCCCACTGCCTCCTCAGTCTGAGGAGCAGTATTCTGTACTGCTCTTCCTATTCCGAATTTGGCCATGATCCTTTCAAGGGTGTGACTTGTGGGCGACAACCTTAAGGCTATCAAACACTACTTCCTGGTGCCCCGTAGATATACTTGCTATAGGGTATGTTTGTAGCTGGCATGTACTTGCTATAGGGCATGTTTGTAGCTGGCATGAATGGAGTGCTTGCATATGTGCCACAGTTTCAACGGTGATTTTATTCATCATGCACCACTTAGCAGGGAACTTAATAAGCCATATGTCCACTTGCTTATCTTTGCCATGAAATACGTTGACATGAACTCAAAAATAAATATTGGATGGAGTTGCATTAATGGGAGAGATAATTAAATTGACTTGGTGGCTTTCTCCATCCTACATCATGTGTATTCCTTTATATCTGTGCCAAATTCTGCCACAGAAAAGTATGGGTTTTGCCCAGTTTTGATCAGATGAACAGAAAAAGAGGTAAGACGCAGCATAATTAAGTCTGGTGTATTTGGTTGTAAATAGAGCAGATGATGGTTACCTCTGTCTTTCAGTCATGCTATTCGTTGCTGTATTAGATAATCTAGAGTGGCATCTAATAACATAATTGAGTGTAAACGTTATTATCATGGCCACACTTAAATGTATCATTTAACTTTTCTTATTTTAAGGCTCCTGAAAAAACAGTTCTTTCATCGAGCATTGAAAGTGATGAAAATGAAACCTGACAAGGACACAAAGAAAGAAAAGGAAAAAGGAAAGACTGAGAGTGGGAAAGAGGAGGAGAAAAAGAGCAAAAAGGAAAGTGGCAAAGATGAAAAAACTAAGAAGGAGAAAGAAAAGGAAAAGAAAAAGGATGGTGAAAAAGAGGAGTGTAAGAAGGTACGCGCAGTCTGTAACAGGGAATACATTAACGGATTGTTAAGGTTGCATTGGCTTAAATGGTTGGTCGTTCTAAAACGTGACATACCTTTTCTGCCTGTTTTCATCTCTAAAATATACTATTCGGGGTTTTTTTTTTTAAACTTCGGAGTTCTGATTTTGATCTAGATCAAAAAAGAGGCTTCGGTTGGGCCGTTGTGTACCTCATCATCTTCTGCTGTGGGCCGAGCTGATGAAAACCCACTTCTCTTCAGCTGCAGCGGGCAGCGGTGCTTTGTACAGGTGTACGTCGGCACCGAATGACACGTGTCGTGGGACTTGACGTCTCACAGCAGCGTGGCTGCACCTGGGAAAAGGAAACAATTTAGCAATGTTTGGTAATAAGAGTGTTTGGAATGTGATATTGGATACTTCGTGCTAGTGAGTAGCTCTGTCATAGAGGGCTGCTTTCCTGTTTGACAGCTCCATCACCAATCTGCATAATGCCTAGTTTTCACAGACTTCTCATTTGCTGTCTGTAAAGTTCAGAGTGTTATTACTGTGCAAGTTTTCAGGTATTTTCTCATGTTTTCATTCCTGATTTATTTTATTAGCAGAACAGAATTCCTAAATTAAACTGTTAGGAATCCGCAGGAGAAACTTCCATTTACAGTGGTATGAATCCAGTGAGAGTGAGCAGGATAGTGCTCAAAAGTTACTGCCGTTCAGATACTGCTAGGTGAAATAATGGTGCCTTTAGTGAGAGGTGTAGTCTGTGTACAGAGGTCTGGATCTCAGAAGAAAGCTGCGTAGCTAATAAACTAATTATAACCAGAACAATCTTGCTGGCAGTCTAAACAGAAGCCAGTACAAGATTACCTAACTCTTGAAGGACTTTAAAATGCTGATTATGAAAGCTATGAACTCCTCCACTTCCCTGTCACCTGGAGAGTTACAGTATTAAATGTAGCGTTAATTTTTAAACTAATCATTATTTATTGAACTGATGTTTTAGTGGATTATATAAGCCACTGGGTAGTAACTTCAACAACAACCCAGGACAAAAGTTAGAAAGTTAATTTCAAACAAAGAAATAAGCGAAGAGGATGAAACAGGAGACAGGGAGAAGAAAGCACAAGATCCGAAAAGGAATTGAGGAGGATAGGGAATAAAGAGGCAGAAACGGATTCTGAAAGGATGCCCATGTGGTAAATATGGTACCAAATAATTCTATTAAAGTTAGTGGCTATGAGGTGGTGTACCCTGTTCTTGATGTCTGTGCAGCCTTTTTGTTAGTATCAGTGGAGCTTTGCTGTACATTTGAAGACATAACATAATCCTGAAGTCATAGTCCAGTCCTTAGACAGTAACTAAAAATAAAATTTCTCTTTCCGTACAATTTTCCTTTGTTCGTGAGGTACCCAGTTGGTAGTAAATGAGAACAGGAGGAAATAAAACATCTTTACTTAAAAAAAAAAAAATTGAAAGTGTGAACGTGATCTTAAGTTTGTGAAAAGTTATCAGACTCAATACATTACAACACCAGAATATAAAACTCCTTTAATTTTTCAAATATATATAATTTGTGTTTGTCCTCAGGATGAGACCCCAGGGACACCCAAGAAAAAGGAAACTAAGAGGAAATTTAAACTTGAGCCACATGAAGACCAAGTTTTCTTGGATGGAAATGAGGTGAGTTTTGTGGGTAGTTTCTAAATTTTCCTGTCCATGTACTCTTGCCATACGATAGGTTAATTTACTGTATTTCTGCAAACTCTTTCTTGACATGTTGGAAGAAAAAATTCATGGCAATGTAATGGCTGATCTTGAAGCATCAGATTTTTAGATATTTGCAAGGATGTTAGAGGGAGATAAATGTAGGGTAACTTAAAAAAATCTACAAGAAAACTTAATTCTCAGTAGTTTTCGCATTAGTGGCCACGAGGTGAAATGTTTGTCCCCAGGATGTGCTGGGGTGTTGGAGCAGGCTGCCCGGAGTGGTTCTGCAGCCTCCGTGCTCGGAGGCTCTCAGCACCGGGCTGGTAAAGCCCTGAGGAACCTGGGCTGGCCTCGCAGCTGATCCTGCTTTGAGCAAGAGGGTGCACTAGAGACCTCCTGAGGTCCCTTCCAACCCAAATGATCCTGGGGCCATTGTTGTGCTGAAATATTTCTAAACAAAACACAAGCCTTTTAGAACATGGTGTCACAGGAAGGGAAATAAGATATCTGCCACCCAGGGGCTGCCTGGCTTTGTGACCTCTATCACCAGATAGGTGACACTTGGGCATTCCTGAATTCTAATCCTGGCTTTACCATTGAAATTGTGGTCATAAATACTCCTCTGTACCTCACTTTTCTGGGAGGCAAAGTATTTAATTCTTTAGTAACTCTGTAGGGTACAGAGTCATATTTGTGCCTTTAAGATTTGGGATAAGTGTTAAGTCTTTACTTGAGCAAAATTATACTGTGCTCTGTGTTGCTGCTGTGTGTCACTGCCCTGCAGTCTCCCCCGAGATTCTTGGGTACCTTTGGTTATAAAACAGACGTGACAGTGAACTCTCCATATAAATCCCTTGTGTGGAAAACGTACTTCCTTTACATGTCTTTATTTTGCTCTCCTCAGGCAGTTCTTTTACAATGTGCCATGCTCTGTTCCATCCCATCTCGTGAGGCACACCGACCTCTGATCCTCCCTGTTGTCTTTTACTGGGATGGCGTGCTGCCCTCAAAATGAGGGTGCAGTACTGCAGTTGCAGTACAAGTGTCTACTTCTTGTCTTAACATCATTGACTTTTTTGTTTATTAATGAGCTGATGTTTTTTTAGGAACTGCAACTCCCAAGAGCTTTTTCTTAAGTAGTAGCTCATTCAGAGCCAGTCTTTGTGCGTTTACATTGAAGCCATTCTTGCCCTTTTCTTCCTTACTTTGCACTTACAAACACTGAATGTTACACAGTCTTATTGCCCAGTCACCAGTCACCATCTTCAGTCTGTTTGGGCTTGCAGAACAGTTAACTGGCAGCACAGCTACACCTGTGTAACTTTCACACCCTGTGAGAAGTGGAACATTAAATACTTGTTGCATCATACTGAAAAACTGTAGTACTGCATCTAAGGTGTCCTCCTGGTAGTTCGTGTTAAAACATCTGCTATGAGGGTTGCTGGTTTCTAGTAATCAGCAGCTTCTTTTCACAGTTAATAGGTAAGATTCAAACTTGTTAGTTTGGGAAGAAAAAAAGATGCTATTTTTCTAGTTAAAAAACTTCTGTACTTTACCAAGAAGCTTTTTTTTTTTTTTTTCAAAGGCAGAGCAAACCTGATTCAGATGGATCCACAGTTCTCGCACAAACATTTGGTACTGGGTGCTGCAACTGTAGAGCTTTAGCTAGCAGTGCGCTGTGGGACACAGTTACACTTACCTGAGGCCATCAAATGGGACTTGAGCTGAGCTGAGCGTTTCAGCTGGTTGCTTTGTTCCATACATTCAGTCTGTTTTTTTAACTCCTACGGGGATCTCTTCAAAGCTAGAAGTATTTTTTTGTTTCCAGTTGGTGGACTTGAAGTTTTTTCTTTACAAAAGTTTTTCGGCTTCATGCTGAACAACATTCATGAATAAAGAAAGAGAAAACCAAACCTCGATTCAGTGATATTTCCCCATCGGTTTTACTGTCTTGATTGTTTTCCCTGGGATTTTACATCACCTGTAAGTTACTCTGGCTACAGTGTCTTTCATGAAGTAATTCTTTCGTAGATCCAGTCTTGAGATTTCCACTGTTTTTCTTACACAGTATGGAAGCTCCGTCCCTTCTTTCTTCTCTCGGTGCTGGAACAGCCAGCGCATTGCCCGGCTCTGTGTCGTGTCCCGCCTTGGCAGCGCGGTGTCCTCAGCCTTCTGGCCATGAGGCTCAGACGACCGTCAGCACGGAGTGAAGGCAGCGGTGCGGGCACGCAGGCGTGCAGCCCCTTGGCCAGCTGTCTCCTTTTGCAGCCCTTTCACTGGCAGGAACCTCTTTCGAGTCCTGTTCAAAGCATTGCCCTGCCCCTCGCCCTGCCCCTCTACCCCCATACGGTCCTGGCTGCAGGGCCGTTTGTTCAGCACCAAGTACCACAGCACGGCAGTAAGTGTTTGGATGAGGAAACAAATGAAATCCTTTATCTGAGAGCTTGTTTTCCAAGTGTAAATGAGATTGTTTCTCTTGCAGGTGTACGTGTGGATCTATGACCCTGTTCACTTCAAAACTTTTGCCATGGGACTTGTCCTTGGTAAGTAAGAGAAGATGCTGGTGAGCACATCATAAATGTAGGCATATCATATCAGCAGGCCTGTGTGTCCTTGGGGAAGTTGGTCTTTTTCCTGGACAAAGTTTTTGCTTCTCCGTTTCAGCATGATTTGATACCAATCACATTGCATGAATTTTAATCTCAGGGTGGAGCGGCTATGCATGGTAAAGAGAAAAAGTTGAAACTACTTTAGCAAATGTCTGAACTTGCACAGTTTTGCAAGCTGTGTATTTCCATCACTTTAAGCTAATGAGTACGTTGTCCAACAGGCAAATGTGGGTTTTACAAAAATGTGAAAGATGTTAAAGGAATTATTTTAAACTATGACTGATACCTTTCTAACCCTAGAACTTGTATTTCTGTAGGATAAGCCAAATCACCTAATTTTATTTTTTTAATCTAAATTAGTATTGATGTTAACTGACATCAGTGAGCTAACAGATCATTCATAGAATCATAGAACGGTTAGGGTTGGAAGGGACCTCAAAGATCATTGTTGTACTGCTGGTCTAACACCCTTGACCTGTACCTTCCAGCTTCCTCACCCTGAGAGAACCACCGTTCCCAAGAATCCCTGTTCCCCTTGGGGCCGTATTCAGGCCTTTGACCAGTCCTTGGGATGATCCGCCCAGCTCCCTGTGCCCAAGGGCTGCTGCACTGGTTATAGGCAGCTCCCTGCTCCCCTTTTTGCTCGTGCCCTCTCCTCAGAGGAGCTCTCTTGGCTCTGTTGACTGAGCACAGCGAGTTCGAGTTGCTGGACGTGGTGTCTCTCTACCAGTATGAAAACAGGAGCAGTGGGACTAGACAGGGTTTCGGTCAAGGCCTAAAATACTGTCAGTAACTCATACTATGGTAAGCCAGTACCTTGAATAAAAGACACGCAGCGGGAGAAATCAGTTGTGCTTCTCATGCTTTTCTCCTTGTCTTTCTACGTAGTGATCGCTGTCATAGCCGCGACTCTGTTCCCGCTCTGGCCCGCGGAAATGCGTGTTGGTGTTTATTACCTCAGTGTAGGCGCAGGCTGCTTTGTTGCCAGTATTCTTCTTCTTGCCATCGGTAAGTGTCCGTCATCCTGAATTTGTCGGCAGGTGAAGTCCTGGTTCTTACCGGCAGTCTGAGATGGGCGACACTCGCTTCCCAGTATGCTGTTAGCAACAGCCTGGCCAAGTCCGTGTTTTCTTCGGTGCCACTGGGTGTCAGAGTTGGGCCGCAGAAAGAAAGCAAGCCCAGGCTTGTGGCACCTGGTTGTGTTTCCCATGTAGTGGAGATTTGGTTACTGCCTCCGTTTTTAAGGAAAAAAAGGGCAAAACAAAACCAAGAACTGTGCATAGTAACAGTCAGTGGTGAGAATGATGTAAGCAGGATTTTAAAGCTGCCTCTGGCTTGTATTTCTGTCGCAGACGGGAGAAAGAGCTAAATCATAGGTGAGATACGTGGTTAATGGGGTTGGGGAGATGTGGTGAGAACAATGCTATTGCAGAATGAGAGATTGTCCTCCAAGGTCACCCCCGTCCCTGGCTTGGGGTGAGTGTTGATAGGGGATATCTCTTGAATGGTGGTTGCGCAGTGTGTATGTTTATAATAAGCTCCAAAATTTCCCTTTTCTTTTTCTGTGCAGCTCGCTGCATCCTTTTCCTTATCATCTGGCTCATCACTGGAGGAAGGCATCACTTCTGGTTCCTGCCAAATCTTACAGCAGACGTGGGATTCATCGACTCCTTCAGGCCTCTGTACACACACGAATACAAAGGACCAAAAGCAGACTTAAAGAAAGAGGAAAAATCAGAATCCAAAAAGCAGCAAAAATACGACAGCGAGGAGAAATCAGACAGCGAGAAGAAGGAAGACGATGACGGGAAAACGGAAGCAACGAGGAACTCGGGAACAGACGGCTCCGGAGGAGAGCGACATTCAGACACTGACAGTGACAGGCGCGAAGACGACAGGTCCCAGCACAGTAGTGGAAACGGAAACGACTTTGAAATGATCACAAAAGAGGAACTGGAACAGCAAACAGATGAAGGGGATTGTGAAGAAGAGGAGGAAGAAGATACCGAAAGTAGGCCTTCACATGGAAAATCATAACTCACTGTGGTTTTGGGACTAAGTATGTGCAAATGGTTGGATTTTCTTTGTTGGCTGATCACCAAAACACAGACCGTACAGTAGCATCTTTGTTTGCGGAAATATTCATGTTACCAAACAGTTTTATATCTAGTTCCTTCAGTTTTTTAACCATTAACTTGATTACTTGGTACTATGTTAATCGTTAATACCCATTGACAGAAGTTTTATCAATCTGACACATTTTCTATTGGTTGATAGATTGCCCAGATTGTCCTCAAACACACTGAAAAACATAGTTTTCTGGTACTTGCATAACTGGTCAATTAGTTTAGTTTCTCAAACTTTCTTTTGTAAAACAGGTAAAAGTTGAATGACCAAATCTCAGATTATTTCTAGTTATACTCATTTGATAGCTAGTTAGGTGAAGCCTTTCGTAGCCCAGATTTCTCAATATTTTTATTGAGCTTGTTTTCAAAAGGTTGTGAAAACTTTCCTAAGAAAACTAGTTTTAGCAGAAGTATTTTGCTGAAAATACAAAAGCTGGTAGCGCTGAATTTGGCTGCAGCGTTCTCTGTTTCTCCAGACTGTGTGCCAGCAACTGAGGAAATCCAAACTGGTTTTGTACATCTGGTTCAGAGAAAGATGTCATCTCCAGCAGGCGAAGGAAGCAGCATGGTTTGGAAATTATGGCTGTTTTCTTTCTCCTGCTCCGTCGTAATTAAAAAAAAAAAATAATGTATTCTGTACATAATTTACAAATAAAGCAAACCATTTACTTTAACTGCTACTTATTATTTAGAGATTTGATCCAGCGTTCAGTTTGTATTATTAAAGCCATTTTGTGGTGTATCTATCGGAGAAATGCAAGTCAAGAGGACCTCACAGAATATTTGTGTATGATTGGTAGCTGTTCCACACGAGCTTTAGTTTTGTGCCAACATTCCATGTATTTGAGTAAACTGATCTTTATTAAATGAGAGCAAACGACATAGCTGTATGTATGCCTTAATGTTAAAACTTTCTATATTCTGGAACTGGAATTCTTTTTGAACTGAAGAGGCAGGAGAGTGTTCGTCTGTTCAGAAATGCAGGTAACTCAAAGCTAATAGGAAGTGATCATTAATAATCTGTTTATAAACATCTTGGAGTTGTTTGTGGAGTTTGTTTTACGCATCCCTTTCTGCTGGTCGTCTGGAGGATGTTCTGTGTGGTTTGGTTAACTGAGCACTGAAGGAGTTAAGACTCGGCGTCGTTCCTCTAGACGACTTTAACAGTAACTATGGATTTGATTGTCTCCTGAACCCTGTCAGAGAAGATAAGGGTAAGCTTGACATTTAATAACTGACTTGGAGAACTTTTTTCCTGTCCTTCATTGCTTCCCCTTCCTTCCAGCATTGGCGTTTTGGATGGAAATACTGATTTTTTCAGGTCGTGCAAATATATACGTCATAATGGGTGCGTTGATGAACAATTCATGGATATGGTACATTTGCTTCTAAAATCTCCTGAATATTTACTCCATAAGGAAACATAAATTGGATCACTTTTTTATTAATATAGCTAAAAATTAAAGGACCCGTTACCTACACAGACTGACTCCTGGCCACTTGTGTGCTGTTGCTGATGGAAGCAGCTGACGAGTCCTGCCTCTGCCTTCAGTACCTTGCCGAGATGCGCGTGGTGTGACCGTGAAGTGTCTTGACCAGCAGCTGCCTTTTCACTCCTTTCAGCGGCTGGTGTGAGACCCTTTGCTCACACAGAGTTCCCTTTGTGTTTGTGCTTCCCAACACCAGACACGACGACGTGAGCAGAGCTGCGTTTCTTCCTGGGCAGTTTCATTTCTGGAGTTCATGGTACCTCCAACCTGCAGAGGTAGTACTGCAGCTTGCTTGGTAACTTTGGCTTTTTACCATGCCAGAAAAAAGTTGTAGAAATCTTTTCTGTGCTGAAGG